TGCAGGCTCAGCAAGGGAGAGTGTAATTATGGCAACAAAGTGGTGCTGGTGAGAGGAGTGTTAAGAATTTCAGACTTAGGTTTCTTCTTCTTTTGTTACATGGTCAGCGAGCCAAGCATCTACCTCTGGGGATGTCATAAAACTGGTGGATTATGGATCGTGGGGGAAATCACTAGGTACTCAAGCATAGAGTGTGCTGGATGCTCGGCAGAGCCGCAAGAATGGTGATCCCCAGCTTCCATCTCATCTACAGTCATCCAGGTACTATCAGTGGAAGCCTAGGGTGAAAAGCAGAGCCAGGATCCCTGGACATGGCGTCTATAGCTCATCTCCTTACCTCACCATCAGAAAAGTCATGATGCTGTCCCAAGCTCAAGAGCCAAATGGATAGCTATGGTGAATAACACCATTGTGGCAGGGAGTATGGAAAAGCCTTAGGTCTCCAAACTCGATCACACACTCTAGTTGGACCAAGTAGAGTGACCACAGCCTTTGGAATACACATGTGGACATTTCCCATAGATTCCAGGGACAGGAAGTTTGATTATTACTGTGACACATTATTAGTAAATTCAGGGGGGTCTTAGGAACTTAAAGTTTCTTCTTCTCTAACTTATAATCATTGTTCCAAGTCATTGTCCTTTGCTGAAAGAATTTAAGATGAGACTATACATATGTATGAAGAGGTCAAAATGACTTGTGTGGGTTATAGATTTTTTTTTTTTTTTACTTCAGGGTCTTAACCTGGCCTTTGCTACCCTGAGCTTCACTTCTACCAAAGTTTCTCTCTCTAGATCTTGGCCTACAGTGGGCTATAAAACCAGATTAGTGGGCATGATAAAAATAGAATTAAAACAATCTCAGAAATATCATATGTAGTAATAAGTATTATTTTAAGGAAACTGTACAGAATCTTCCATAGCAGGAGGTCATGACAAAAATGGAAAAACCTGTGGAAACAAGATGTCAAATATCCCCTGGTGATTTCTTTAGGGTAATCATGCTGGGCATGTGTGACCCCCTCCAGAAGAGAGTGTGGGCTTTGGAGCCCTGTGTGGGGACAAATCAATGAAATGGAAGGCTTGGTTATGAATGTTGCAGGAGGGTAGAAGTGGATCCATGACGTATTATACAAACCAGTGTCTTCCCCTACACTTGCCTATGCCTCAAGTTCTAGCTCTCATTTTCAATTTGTCTTCCTGATGAAGATCTACAGACTGAAGCCTCTGCTTCCTACACTGGCTTCCTTGGCTTCTCTTCACCCCTCTGCTCATTGCACACAGGCTTTTGCTCCCACAATTCCATTGACACTCTCCTGGATGATGTCACTAGCTGCTTCTGGCTAAGCTGAATGGCTTTCAGACACCATTCTGTGTTTAAAACACAGAATGTACACCCATATGTATGTACACGCATGCATACATACATAAATACATACACATGTTTTAGACAGGATTTCCGTCTTAGTCATTGTTCTATTGTTGTGAAGAGACACCATCACCAAGGCAACTCTTATAAAAGAAACTTATTAGTATAGGGCTTCTAAGTTTAATTTAATTTTAATTAAAAAGCTATTACGTTGGGGGCTTGCTTATAGTTTTAGAGGCTTAGTCCATCACCATCATGGGGGGGAAAGGGGGTTGGCACTGGAGCAGTAGCTGAGAGCTACTTCCTGATCCACAGGCAGAAAGAAAAACAGTGGGCCTGGTGTTTGCATTTGAAACCTCAAAATCCATTCCTAGTGACACACTTCCTCCAACTAGGCCACACCTCTTAATCCTTCTAATCATTTCAAATACTTCCACTGCCTGGTGACTGAGCATTCAAATATATGGGCCTGTAGGGGCCATTCTTATTCAAACCACCACAGTTTCACTATGTGAGCCCTGCCTTGTCTAGGACTTTCCAAGTAGACCAGGCTGGCCTTGAACTCACAGTTATCTATCTGCCTGCCCATGTTTCCTGGGTGCTAAAATTAAAGGCATGCACCACAATGCCTGGCCATTGAGAATAGTTTTAATAGTGGAAGAAACATAAAAGTTAGTATGTGCTGAATAAATTTCCTGTTGACAGTACTGACTACTGTCTGAGGGACAGCACCACCCACTGTCTGAGGGACTTACATGTTTTGTAGGCTGGTACTTTGATTTTTCAAGTTTGAATTCAACTGAGGCTGAGAGAGGCTTCGGTACAGCAGCATAACAGCTGGGTCTGCCTGACAGCTGAGGCTCTGAACCACCTCCCCTTTGTTCTCACACTGCAGCTCTTTGAACTGAGCCTCCTGCTTCTCTAACTTTTCTGTGTTGGTCCCCATCTGAGTAACACAGATGATTCCAATCCTATCTGCAACCCAGACTCTCTCCTGAGCCCCCAGCAGGTTGTTATTGTCTTGCCTCTGCTGGATGTCCTGGAGGCACTTAAGAATTAAGCAAACTGCAAGAGAATTATCTTATCCTAAAACCTCATCTTTGTCATTACACTGTATCAGTTTGGGAGACCTCAAGAAGGGTGAGGATGAAGCAGGCCTGTGACTAGTTGTGCCAAGCACACTGTCATTCATAGTGAGTGAACACGTATTTATGAATGAAGGAATTACAGAAGTCCAGTTTATGGAAAGGGAATGAAGAAACGGAACAATGAGTCCAATTAATTCATAGCCTATCAACAATGAGCCTTTGTCAGTTTTGAAGACAAATTCATTAGCATAAACTGTCCTAGTTCATAAGAGGTTTCTTTTCATTCCATTCATAACATTTCCTATTGAAAACTTAATATAAAACATAAATAAAATGCTACCAAGTTCTGCTGTTAGGCAGTGGTGCCTCCACCGTTGGAATGAGAAAATTCAAATAAGAGCATGCTTGGCATCTACCATCACACCGGGCACTCTTGAGATCCTCATAAATGTTTTAGTAAATGGAAGGAGGAGAAGGCAGGCAGAGGTAGAAGAACATATTTTCAAGGAAAAGTAGGTAATTCATGTTTGGTCCTCTGGATTCTTAGGTGTCCTTTGGCACCTATCAGTCAACAGAGGAATGTTGGTAGCCAGAGGGTATCTTACAAGGATTCTGAGGAAGTCTCTTTGAATGTTAATAGACAGCTAATGCTTTGTGATAAGATCTTTGTATTCTGCACAAAAAGTACAGCTTCTTACATTACTTGGAAAATGTAATTTGTGTGTGTGTGTGGGGGGGGGAAGAATAAAGAAAACCAATAGAAGCAAAGGGGCTGGAGAGATAACTCAGCAGTTGAGAATATGTACTGCTTTTGCAGAGGACCTGAGTTTGGTACCCAGCATCCACGTTGGGTATCACACACACACACAGAGTCACAAATCCACATGCAGATACACATGAATAAGAGTAATTAAAAACAAAAACAAGAATGCAAAATAGCGGCTAAGGGAATTAAAGCCAGGCAAAAGCTGCTTCATTTGACAGATGCTGAAACTAACAAAGACATCCTTCCTGCTAGTTGTCTCAGAATGATTTTCAGACCTTTGTTTAATGGCTATCTGGTAGCTATCTAGGTCTTAGGATTCTGGATGGACTACCCCACATCTACAAGTACCTACATACAGTCAGAAAGGAGTGTGGTATTCTAGCACAGCTATTTAATAGCACCAGTGTCTCCTCACATGCCTGTGGTCTCCTCAAATGCCACTCCTAAGAAAGCATGCTCACAAAATAATGGTACATACCTTGGGATTCACAAAAGCATGAGGAAGAAGCAAAAATAAGACAAACAAACAACAAGAACAACAGCAAGCCAGAAGTAGTCAGCTCAGTGAAGAGTTAAATATATCCTGTATATATCCACCCATGATGTCAGTCTGAAGAGTCAGCAAAAACACAGAGATCATATGAGATAATGCTAAGCTCAAGGCAGACTATAAAGTAACTACAGACATCCTGAGTATGCCAAAAGAGAGAGAGAGATTTATTTAAGGAGGGAAAATGTCCAATGGGAAACACTCCAAATGGTGCTAACTGGACAGCAAGGCAATGAGTTAGTTTTCTTTTTTAGGTTTGTTTTCTTTCTATAGAAACTGACAACAGCATTTTTGTGAGCTTTCAATACTAAAAACATAAATGCCCCCATTTTTAAATCTAACAACAACCCAGTGGGCTTTAATACTCTTAGTTTAGATTTTAAAATATGAATGCTGAAGGAAACGTGAAAAACTATTCAAGACAGCATAAAGATTAAGTAGTACAAAAAAAAAAAAAATCTCAGGCAAGTACTCAGTCTGGCTTGAAGGGACCAGCTTCCCTTTTGGCAGCCATAACGGCCGAACATGTGCTTCTATGACCTCGTCCCAGACACTAGAAAGTCAGATGCCTGTCTCGTGACAAGGAACCAATCAGAAGTTAGCTGGTGGCGCTATGCTTTACGACCCTGGGTGTGCTTTATGGACAAGCGCACAGCAATGATGTAGAGAGCATAGCAACCACCCTGGGAGGGCCTATGGGCCATAACAACCAGTTGACCAATCAACACAGGGCAAGCCCTCCAAGCCTGGAGGCACACCAATCATGAGCCTGTGCGTACCCCTAGACACTCCCCTTACGCTGTCCTATAAGATCTCTTGGGAGACCCATCTTTTGCTAGCCATCTGTCATCTCGGGTGGGTGAAAGACCCGAGATAACATGGGGTTAGCTCGTTAAATTACAATAAAGCCTCGTGCAGTTTGCAGCAAGCTCTCAAATCTGCCTGGTGATTGGGGTGACCGCGAACGTGGTCTGGGACCCTGATACTTAAGTTTTCGGGGGCCTAACAGGATCAAAGTCCAGGCACCTCATCAGGACAAAATGCTACTATTCAGTTTTGTTTTTCAATTGAAAGATAGCTTATTCTAAAAATAAGATGTTAAAATCAAATGGTATTTCCTTCATTTCTCTTAGAAAATCAGTATTGCCCAGAGAAGAGAAGGCCCAGGCAGAGATGGTAATGATGACAGCAGGGAGGGTTGGGGTACAGAGAACTCTGTGGGACCCACCTCCTCCAGAGGCTTGCTGGAGTAGTTCTTCATGGCAGCCTCCTGGAGCTCCATAGCTTGCTGGATGTACATTTTCCCAACCAAGATTTCATTTTCCAGCATGGATAGCTCTTTCAATGAAATGGGCCAGTTCAGGCGTTCCAAGGCTTTGTTTAAAACTGCCTTGTTTTCCAAGTATTGTATAGGCTTGATGGCATCCAACCTGAGAAACAAAGAACTATGTCAACAAAATGAAAAGATAAGCATAAGAAAGTGTGATCAGCTTCTCAATAAAACTCCCCGAGAATCACCTGTTGACACAGATGTCAAATGACTACAGTGCCATCTGTGCCTTCAGGGCCACAGCTCCAGCCCCCAGAGCTCCCACTTTTCAAGATTAGTTATAATTAGAAACTGTCTCTGGAATGGATGGAAAACAAGCCTGGGCACTGTTTGGGGCCATGATGCTATATGATGGAGGCCCCCCAGTTACATCAGCTAGTGATACAGCCATCTTAGATCATGTTCATATGGGGGAGGGGGCACAGGCAGACTTCCTAAGGACACAGCTATTACCATGTACAGCTGGAGTTAAGTAACGAATTATCATACCCGATGGTTTGTTCTGTTGTTGTTGTTTGCTTTGAGACAAAAGTCTCCTTATGTAGCCCAGCCTGGTCTCAAACTCACGTCTCCCCAGCACTAGGAATATGTGCAACCACCATCATGCCCATCCAACAACCAATGGGGGGGACACAGTGAACGCTCGCACAGAGCTGGTGGGAATTTGAAGTAGTGTGGCTGCTGGCAGCGCGCCTGGAGCCTTCTCAAACACTGAAGCATACAATTACTAGGTGATAAACCTACTCCTCACTGTATATGCTAGAGAAATAAAAAGTATGTCCACATGGAAACATCCACTCAAGTGATCATAGCAACATTATTCTTAATAGCTGAAAAAGGCAGAAACAACCGAAATGTTCATTAGTGGGTGCAGATAATCAGTGATGTGTGTGTGTGTGTGTGTGTGTGTGTGTGTGTGTGACATAACTTCCTGAGTTCATGCACACATGTATATGTGTACATGTGCATATATGTTACAATCTTCATAAGCATTGAAAATATTAAATTTTCCCATTAAGTAATAGAAGACAGAAACAGAAGTGCCACGTATGTGCTCCCTTTCACGTGGTATATCCAGACAGACAGATTTAATGGAAACAGAAAGCAGACTAGAGTCAGCAGTGGTTGGAGAAGAGAGCAACATGGAAGAATTGCTTTCTGGGTAAGTTGTAGTCTTTTTTAGGGTGATGAATGTTTGGGGGATTACATATTCTAAATGCCACTGGATCATATGCTTTAAAATAGTTGATTTTGCTTATGTGTATTTCATTGGCATTTCAAAAACTGAGGTATGAATGGAATGACTTACTTCTCTTTTTCCTCTTGAGATAAAGCTCGCCAGACAATTTTATTTAAACGTCTGTTGAAAAAAAAAATACAATAACAATAACTTAGGAGTAATAACGTGTTTTAAGAAAAAAAAAAAAAACCCAAAAACTTGACTTCAGGCTCTGAGAGGGATTGCAAAGAGAAACCCAAGCCAGCTGCCAATCATTATTGGATGGTACCACTGTCACTCACTCAAAGAGATCACATAGGCACATCTCCCTCCTAAGCATCCCTGAGGAAGCCATGTGGCTGGCTGGGAATAATGTCAAACACTAAGGAAGTCTTTGCTCTCAAGGAAATGCTGTAAACAAGCTGGTCCTCATCATCTCTGCATTAGGAAGCTTCTCATTGGCCGGCAAGGTGGTGCAGCAGGAAAAGTCTCGATGCCAAATTTGATTTCCCAGGACCCATATGGTGAAAAATAAAACTGACTCCCTGAAGTTGGCTCACACACACACACACACACACACACACACACACACACACACACGCAGAAACACACACTAGACACACACAGCAAATACAAATGCAATACAAATATATTTTTTTTAAAGTTTCAGGTGCTACAAGATTTGTTCCTAAGGAGAACGTAAGCACTGTCAGCTTGCCTTCTGCAGACATTCTTCTGCCTGGGTTCTGAGAGCAAAGGGAGCTAATGGGAGCATCAGCCAAACATTCAGGGTTCATGCAACAAATCATCCAGTCTAACCACCTTGTTTTCTGGGTGGAAGCACAAAGATGGGCAGTCATGCAAAACCCTTCAAACAACCACCTGGCTAGCTGTCTGTGGGGGAACTGAAGCCCCTCACTGACCATAGCCTCAGAGAGAAGCCACCTGCTGAAGAGGAAAGGGAGTTGGGATAGTGGCTCCTTTCCTTGTAACTTCTTTCAATGGATCCAGCCCAATGGATGACACTATGCCATCACCTCAGGGCTTTGTGGACAGCAGGAGACAGAACATTGGCTCCAAAGCTTGTGGACTAGGGAACATTGCCTTCCACAGGAAGTCCTCTTCTGACCACTGAGGCCAGTTGGCATTAGCACAGCACATAGAGAATACACTTTGAGGGGAGGTGCTGTTCTGTCCTGCTTGTCCACCATGAGCCTAGAAGGGCTGGGAAGACGAGACAAAGATGGCTCACGTGGGAGAAGAACTGTAGTACTGGGGCCCAGACCTGAGTTTCTCCCATTTGCATGAGACTTTGGGCTAGGATGGAGTCAACTTTTCTGTCAACTCAGGATGACAAGAGAATCCGCCCCCCCCCCACCCTGTGCAGTTATGAGGACTCTGTGAGCTGGCCTATGCATAGCATATATAATGTGTCTGACATTGGTAAAGACCCTGTAAGTGATGGCAAAAAAGTCAGGAACAATGGGGGCTAGGAGCTCTTGTTGCTCCTACAGTTCCCAGCATCCACATAGTGACTCACAACCATCCATAACTTTATTTCCATGGAATCCAATGCCTTCTTCTTACCTCCACAGGCAAAACACTCATAAAATAAAATAAAATAAAATAAAATAAAATAAAATAAATGGGTGTCAAACACAAAGAGCCAGGAAGAGGGAACTAGGCCAGCAGCCAGTGCTTTGGTCTTACTTGAAGGTTTTGACTCTTGGGTTCCTTTAGGAAATTGGGTTTCTTTAGTCACTTGGTTCATGTGACAATGATCAGGGCTTCTAAGACTGTTCAGTTTTCTGTGCTTTTCTTAAAATATATTCAGCACTCTCTTCAATCTAAACTTGAAAGTGGGCTCAGTGTAGCACAGAAGCTGGGAGGGCAGAGAAGGGCTTTAGCGCACAGATTCAGGGTCAAGCTCAGCACTCAGCCCCACCTGGCAGCTATGTGATCCTGTTGCACAGAATCCTTTGAAGCGATGCTTTCTCAGGGATAAAGCAAGGCTAACAGCACCCATCTGTGGCTTTGAGAGGACAAAGGAGAAATATATGGAAAATACCAGGAGTGCCTCAATGTTCCTCTTCTCTGACAGATCAAAAGAAGGGTGAGCCTAGAAACACGGACAGACCAGTGGTGATGCAGGTCTGGTGGGTCGGATTAGCTAGCATGGATCGAATTTGAACTTAATACTTGAGGAAATATTTCCCAGGGACACATATTCATAACATCTGTGTCCCTTCTTGTCCACATGTTTTGTACAATTTCAGTGCTTTATTGAGTTGGTGGAGTGATTACAGCAAAGCCACCAAGAGTATTCCTCTTTGGCACCTGGAGGGCATTGAATGTGAGAGTTTTTCTGAAGCTGGTCCAGGCCCTTAATCCTGACTGCTGCTTTGCACCCACTGGATTGCTGTAGCTCCAGCTGTAGCAAGAAATGACTGGTCTACAAAGCAACGTGTAACTGTTGGCACATCATAAATCCGACCAGCAAGGGAGAGAAAACCTTAAATAGAGTCACGAAGCACGGTCCCAAAGCCAGACCAGAACTGAGACTTCTCCTGTGGATCTGAGGGCTGTGATCTTGACTTTGGAAATCAAAATAAGCTGCAAGAAAAACACTGACTCTGAATTTAAGCAGCCCTAGAAACATTCACAAAGCCCAGACTCTGGAAATACTGGAACAGAAGGACACCCACCCATGGACACTGTGTCTAAAATAGCTCCTTTATATCATCCTGTGAACTTTCATTTGCTTGGTCACTCCTAGCTTGAATGGACTTACGGATGTATAATACCATTTTTTTTTCAAAGTGGTAATGGCTTACTTTGAAGATAAAGATCACAGAGGTGTGATGGTGGAGGATGGACAGTATATGTGTCCATCACTCGTCATTTGCCCATGATAAGAAAGTTGCACATGATGAAATACAAAAAAAAAAAAAAAAAAAAAAAATGATGTTTATACAAACAAAATTCTTCAGTACTATTGAATTCAAAGGCTCGGGGAGTTTTTCTCCTTCATAATATTGTTGCTGTTAATACTACTACTAGTATTAAATAATTTAACACACACACACCAACGCAATAAACCCACTACCAATTAAATGAATAAACTTAAATGTTAAACATCAGCCATACTAAAGCTGGTTTCATTAACACAAAAATTATTACTGAAAGTACACGTTGAATATCTCTAACCCATAAATGTTTGGAATTTTATATTTTGAAATATATTTATTTGCATGCACATAATGAGATATCGTAAGGATGGGACCCAAGTCCAAACACAAAATTTATTTAGCTTTCCTGTCTCCCTTGTACACACAACCAGAAGTAAATTTGTGCACAATTATTATCACATAGACTAACATTTTAACTGTGGTCTTTCACATGGGATCAGGAATGGAACTTACTGTACGTGGTATCACTATGGGCATTCAAAAACTTTGGAGAATGGAGCATCTGAGGTTTGGAACTTTTAGGAGTTTTTGTTCAACTTGTAGCAACAATACTCCTCTAGCATTAACAGAAGAGTTTTTGAGAGTTACTTGCAGGGTCAAATCACTTACTCTGTATTTTGAACTTTTTTTCTCAAGGGAGTGCTGTTCTGCCTGGGAATAGGGGTCTTCTTCCTTTCTGAGACCCTCTGGAAAAGGTTGGCATGGCAGAAGGAGTCAAGGGACTACTATGGTACAATAGTCATGGTTAGTTTAGGATCAACAGATTCGGGATGCAAGGCGGATCCACGTGGAAGGCTTCTTACATGTGGTCTGACAGTCCTCCCAATGGCCCTGCGGTGTGGGTACTGTAAGTAAGTTATCTGCTCTCATGAATGTCACACACTCATCGAAAAGCAGGCATTGGTCTGGGCTAAGGACAAAACATGCAAGCACTGCTTGACAGCCACGCTCTAGCCTGTGGCTCTGTACCAGATGCTTATAGACAAATGATTACAGAACTCGACTATCTGAGTTATTCAAGCAAACTGCATTAGAATTTGAATGGAATTTTATTGCATTTGAATACCCAAATCAAATTTGAACATTTTAATAACAAAACTGGAATTAACTCAAATTTGAATGAATTTCAAATAGTCAAGTGTACGGGCCTCTGATAGAAACTGATGAAAGGGAAAACAAGGCTGGTCCAGCCGTAAACTAGTGAACCAGAATGTCAATGAGCTACAGTAGGCCAGTGCGATTGTTCAGAGTGTGACAAAAGAGCACAATGGGGAAGTGGCTAGAGAGGGGGTGTGGAGAGTTCTCTCTGAGGAGGTCTTAGGAAGAAGGACCAGTTGAGGGACTACAGAATGACAGTCCCTTGAAGGGAGGACTTTGTGCAAGCACCAGACCCAGGGAGAAGAGGAAGCTTAGGATAGGTCATCTTGCTACCAAGATAAAGATGGAAGACAGAAAAAAGCAGAAAAACAGACGGAGCATCCCTAATTCAAAACCATCCTAAACTAACCTTCTTAAGTGCCAGTGTGACAAGTAGAAAATTCCACCCATGTCATAAAGCTTCTGGCATGAAATTATTTCAAATAGTAGGGGAAAAAGTTTGGACTTGAGCCCAATTCCAAGGGCACCCCATTTATGCATAGGCAAATATTCAAAGACACAGAAGAAAATCTGAAATTCTCCTGACCTTTTCCTTTTGGATAAAGGATCTTACCCTGTGCTGACAACTCCATAAACACCACTGATGGTGCTCACATGAGGGTTATCAGTTCTAACGGGAATGCAGTGAAGGAGACTGGTGTGAAGACTGGAGAGCCATGCAGTGGTGGGAAAAGACCTTTCTGCAGATTAGCTGTGGCACCCTGTGGGCAGGAGTTGGGCTTTGAGTACACGCTAGGCCCACCCCACCCTGAGTTATGACGGATGGATCAGTGGGGGGCAGGGTCTGGCCATATCACTAACCTCTATGAGATTTATTACTTATCCTTCTCACGTGTTGATAATTAAAAGCCCACTGTGGAACTTCCAGAATCTAAAATAAGCTTCCCAAAGAAGCTGGGCACCTTCAAAGGTCCCTTAAGTGTGTACACTAGGGTTAATTCTAGGAAGGTGGGCAGGTCCTGGGCGAGTAAGCCACCTGCCCCTGAGGAAAGTCTCCAACTGTCTGAGTGTAGAATTCTTTCTACAGTCAACTTAATCATCGTTGATACAAAAACATAAAACAATAATCTATACTTACAGACTTACCCCTCAGTGTTTGTCGGGAACTGGCCCCAAGATCCCCTTTTACTGGCTACAGATTTCTCAGGGTCATGGACACTCAGTTCTTGTATGTCAAAAGCTATTGCATTTGTATATAATCAAGGCATACCCTCCCAAATACCATAAATCACATGTACATTCACATAAGACCCAAGATCATGTAAATTCTGTCTACATACTTGTTTTGTATTTGGAGGATAGGGCAAGAAAGAAAAATCTGCCCGAGTTCAGGTTACACACCATGGGTTTTTTTCGGGTTATTTTCATTCTGTGGGGGTCTGAAGAGGGGAAGGGGCTCTGTCTCTACTGTGGTGTTTGTTGGTTACTTCTCAAAGTGTTGAACGCCAACATGATCAAATTCATTGCAGGAAGAGGAAAACGTGGAAGGTTTCCTGGAAACACAAGATGTCTACAGAGTTGAGGATGGGAAGGTGGTTTATTGTACGCTGTTGGAAAGGTTAGCTTCAGGAACCTAACCCAGCACCCAGCAGGACCACACATGAGCTTTGTGTTGATACTGGGCCATTTTTGAACTGCGGTTTCAGATGAAGCAATCTAAGCTAAAACAAGAGAAATGAAGCCAAACCAAATTATCTATCAGGAGCATTTGAGAATAATACTCACTTTTCATAGGATTTAATGGCCTGTTCCACATTTTGCTTGTAGTTATCGAGTTCGGCTCCTTGGGGGTTAATCAATATCATCTTATTGGTGTCACTGCCCACATGTGCCAGAGGGGATACCTACACAGCAATGCCAAAGTAAAGTGTCACTTGATAAGTTCATGCAAGCCTTCAAATATGCATTTATATGGGCACATGCTTTTCTGACTATAAAAACCACACTGTATGTGTAAAAAAAAAGTAGAATGTAGTAAATCTTAAAATAAGAAATATGATTACTTACCTTTCTTTTTCCTTTTAAAAAGCTATACATTTTAAAAATTACTACCATAAAACCAACAGAAGAAAACCAAAATTGTTTCAGGAAACATGTCTGATGTCTATGGAGGTCGGAAGAGGACATCAGATGCCCTGGAACCAAATGTATGTGTGGTTAGGAATTACCATGTGGGTATTGGGAATCAAATCCAGGTCCTTTGCAAGAGCAACAAGTGCTCTCAACCACCAAGCCATCTCTCAAGCCCCAAGAGCTTACTTTTAATGAGGAAATCATTTAACTTTCAATCAAGGCAATGCAGTTCATCCTGTTACGTTCCCCAGCTTCTAAAATTGTGCAAAAATATAAGAAACTAGTGCAAAAAAGAAAGAAGAAAGAAACTAAATGTGGATATAGTTATAAAAATTGAAGAGAAGTGTAAACAGGTTGACTCTGTGGGTTGCTGGTTCTGTGTCCAGTGCTAACAAGACAGTGAGAGTCCGGCTCCTAGAAGTAAGTGGGACTATGAAACGTTCTGGAGAACAAGGGTCCACATTGGGTTCAGTGACCAAGGGTCTCTCCTCCTTGGAAGAAGGTACTGACTAGCAAGAGGGAACATTCACATAGCTTCACAACCAAGGATTAAGCCTTGAGAAAGCACCAGTGTTTAAATACCCCCTACATTGCCTTTACCTATTTCAAGGAAGAAATCATTCACACTTTCTTAAGCTGTGCTCATCTGGGGCTTTGCACTCAACCAAGATGAGAACCTATTGTTTGGTGTTAATTAGGCTGCTCCAAGACATACAAGAACTAACTGAAATTCTAAGAAGAAGTGGAGGCAAGTTGTTGTGAATCTTGAAAGAAGGACATTGGAACTGGAATAAAGAAATGATCTTCACAGACTGAACAAAGTTGAAACCAGGCATAATCACTTAAAAAGGACTTTGCAAAGTGTGTGATGCATAAAGACTTCCCCCACACAGATAAATGGGTGATGGAGGGAGGGACATACGGACAGATATTGAGAAGTTTCAATGTATAGTAATGGAACAGAATCAAAGAGGAAGGTCATATAAGAAGCAACATCTGACAGTGTGTGTGCACAGAGGCTTCACAAATGGTGGCTATATCTAAGCATTAAACCAAAAAAAAAAAAGTTGAAAAGACCATTTATTAACAATTGTCATTGATGCTGGCCGAAGTCAAGCTGTTTGATAAGGGGGGGGCAGACACTGTCTGTGTGATTTGGGGAATGGGGGGGGGGTGAGGATCCTGGTCCAAGTCCAGAGGGGGCAGCTGTTAGGGATATTTTTCACTGTTCAGTCCTCACCATAGGGAAGGAAGAGTCTGCAGTCAATTCAAGGGTTCAGCTGCTAACCTGTCTTAAGATATAACATCAGCCTGGCCGCCTAAGCTCCATTTTCAGTCCCCACAATACAGGTTACACCATTTTGAATATTTTTTAAACAGTATAGTTTTACCTTAAAAACATGGTTTATTATTTTTGTACTGAGGCATATACAAAAACTCAGGTTAAGGATTACCTTTGAGGAAGGAGGGAGGGGAATTGATCCAAAAAAAAAAGGTGACACGGGGGTCCTTTACATTACTTTAATTCCTTAACTTCCTTTAAACGTGTCTAAAACAAGCCAGGCACTGGTGGCACACGCCTTTAATCCCAGCACTCATGAGGCAGAGGCAGGCAGATCTCTCTGAGTTTGAGACCAGCCTTATCTATAAAGCTAGCTCCAAAACAGTCAGGGAGATACAGAGAAACCCTGTGTTAAAAAACCAAAATACCACCAACAAGTGTCTAAAACATGTATAACATTGGGTTTTAAACTATCAAAAGTAGTTATGTCTAAAACTTTGGACATTACAGGAGGTAGGCAAGACTTTGATTTTACTGTTTAATTCTTTCAAACTACATATATTCACTCTCATTAGGACCCACATAAGTAAAATAGGCAACGGTTTAGAGAACAGAAGAGAAAGGCGTGAAGTTAAAAGCTTCAGAGTTCAACCAGCTACTTAGAAACCACACAGAGTCAGCGTGTGGCTCCTGAACACTCCTTTCAAAGGGAAGGAAACAGAACAGGGCGTCAAAGGTGAAATGCCTGGGCTTTGAAACCAAAGATTGCATAAGTTTGTAAAAAAAAAAAAATAAAAAGAAGAAAAAGAAAGAAATCATCCCTCAAAATAGGGCAATATCACAAAAACTTGACAGGAAAAAAAATCAATGGCAACACAAATGAAAGACATTTATGTTTTCTGTGACCTGGTAGGAAAGTACCCCTTTAGAAGTCTGTATGTGTCTCTCCTAGTTTACTAGTTTAGGGTTCAATGATAAATCAGTATTTAAAAAAAATGTTTAGTCACAATCTTGACTCGACCAGGTACTTAAGCAAAGGCAAATTCATACTGTACTTCACATACTCAAGCAAAGGCAAATTCATATTGTACTTCAAGTACTTAAGCAAAGGCATATTCATATTGTACTTCCCTCTTTGGTAGATCTCGATTTCATGCCAGACACGGACATCATTGCCTGGAGCTAGTTCAAATTTGACTTGTGTATACCCTCTCTCCTTCCTTTCTTGCACGCAGGATTGGGAGAACACAAAGGCATACTCCACACCTTCAGTTTTTGGTCTTAATTTTCACAACATGATGGTTACTTGAAGGCCACAAAACCCACCCTCTTTATGATGTCAAATTTAGTGTCACAAGGGACATTCCAAGGTTAGGGGATCACAGTCAGGCTGCCTAGCATGTCGGGGGTGGGGAATGAGTGGGAAGGGAAGTGAGGTTCACGCAGAGGCTGAGGGCTCAGTTTGAGGGGATCAAGGCGTGTGATGGAAGCCCCTTGAAAATGACTTCCTTAGTGTTTTGTAACTTAGTGGGGGGGGATCCTTCCAGACAATATTTGGTAATAAGAAGAAGCCTAAGGCATCATCTACTTTAGCTCTCTTAGGCAAAACTAGAATTCATATTAATAACCACCCCTTAGTGACAAGATCTTAACCATTAGAGAGGTGGACTAGAGGGGCACGTGGGGTACAGTTTGTGGAGATAGGGAGGAATACAGAGATGGATAGAGAGAGACATAAACCAGATGTAGAAATTTCTAGAATTTATGGGTGAACAAAATTGGGTTGATAGTTAAAATTTTCCCACTCTTATGTGTAATATTTTGGACCATTAACTGGAAAATAGCTTCATGAAAATACTACTACTATCACTATAATAATAATCATAATAACAATAATCATAATAATAATAATAGAATTTATCCTCTCTGCCAGGCATTCTCTACATATGTTCTCATTCAATTCCATTACAGACAAATACAATTAATTAGTTGTAGTTTTTGTTATATGGCAAACTAAACTGTCCACTAAGCTGTAACTCTTTATTGTTTTTATATTTCATAGATATGGGCATTTTGCCCGCATGTATGTGTGTGCACCATGTATGAGTCTGGTGTCAGCAAAGACCAGAAGAGGGTGTCAGATTCTCTGGAGCTGGAGTTACAGATGGTTGTGAGCTACCATGTGGGTTCTGGAAATCAAACCCAGGTCTTCTGGAAGAGAAGCCAGTGTTCTTAACTGCTGAGCCATCTCTCCAGCCCCCTTTATTTGGTTTTATACATATTGTTTATTGGAGTTAGTGCAATGCATCAGTGAGTAAAGGCAGTTTCTGAACAAGCCTGTCCACCTAAGTTCAGTTCACCAGGACCCAAGCTAGGAGGGAATCTACTCCACAGTCGACTCCTCTCACCTTCGCGCACACACTGTGACACGTGTGTCCTGGCCCCCCATAACACAAAAATAATAAATTTCTGGTATAGCAAATGTACTGGTATAACAAATGTACTAAATATACAAATATCATATATGCACAATATTTGTTGAATAACATGGAAGACTAAAACAGAGGCTTGAAACATTTTTTAACAGTTTGATACACTGTAAAACATAATCAAGTTTAGATTCTGCCAAATTTGTCTTGTTAGAAATTGGGGCATGTGACAAAGGAGGACTTTATCGGTTGGGGAAGAAGTTTACTGAATATGAGTAATGTGAAAAAGATGTTTAAGAGATTTATTTTTTTTTATTCAAAGGTGGTCAAAATAATTGAATATTGAAATGAAATCATGCCCCTTTCGCACAGTAATAGAAAAGATCAAGTTTTTATTTGGTTTGTTTTATGTGTGTATGCTACTGTTTCTTACTGACACCAGAAAGATAAAGGGAAATGAATACTCTCAGAACTTCACATTAGTTGCCCCCAAATGGGAGGAATAGTTCAAAAAGTTGTCACAACTTAACATGTTATTTTAAAAAGATATTTTTAAAGTTTTAACCATGTATAGGCCTGTAGGTCTGTGTTGGGTATGTGCATGGGTGTGCAGGTGTCCATGAAGGTCAGAAGAGGGCGTCAGATTTCCCTGTGAGCCATCTGACATGTGTGCTGGGATCCAAACTCAGGTCCTCCGGGAAGACCAGTACATGTCTTCAGCTCCATAATTCATATTAGTAAATGCTGGACAAATTAAAATTTGTCCAAACATCATTATTATATGGAAACATGTTCAGGGCAGATGCTAAATGAAGAAAATATCATGTGTAGTTATGTATACAGTTATTAATTTTTAACATGAATCAGAATTTACCTGATGACATTAGAATTAACCGCAGAATGTGAAATTGAGAAACCAGTGTGAAATTGATGATTATACATTTCACTGTTTAACCTAGACCAAATTTATTAATTTCAGTGTTTTCCAATAAACATCTTAGCACTCAGTGCCAAACCAGGCAAGGAAAATCTATGATTGGATGTGTTTAATGAACATGCA